TCACACCAACCAATCACAGCAGATGGCCCCGCCCCTCCCTGAGCCTGGTTCTGCTGGAGGTTTCTTCCTGTTAAAAGGGAGTTTTTCCTTCCCACTGTCACCAAAGTGCTGCTCATAGGGGGTCATATGATTGTTGGGTTTTTCTCTGTATCTATGAAGCGCCTTGAGGTGACTGCTGTTGTGATTTGGCGCTATATAAATAAAACTAAACTGAATTGAATTATGAATACTCAACGAGGAAGTGACCTAGGATTTTGAAACTGATACCATAGCTGCTAAAATCCTCACATGAGCTTTAATCACAGTGACTCTGACGTGTGGGCGTGTCTGGATTAGCTTCCTGTCTCTCACAGCAGCATTTCATTTTACGTCCTCCTCCTCAGCCACCTTTTCTCGCCATGCGCCCAAAGGCTCAGTCCAACACACAGCAATATCACATATAAAATATAATAGCCCATATTTTAAGTACTAGTCTTATTCTGTCTGCATTTTCAAAGGCTTCACACAGAGCAGCCACAAAGGTGGACTCAGTGGGACGGGTACGTCAGGCAGGTGTCCAGTGAAATGGTCCTGAAAGACACACAAATCATCAGCCTGCAGGAGAGAGAAACCACACTAAGGATGGAGCTGGAGCGCAGCAGGAAACAGACTGAAAGGTGAGAGGGGGAAAGAAGAAATACGAAGTCGGGAGTGCCATGGAGGTCCTTCCTGATGCAGTAATAAACAGGGAGTATGGGCTTCATCTCTTTGTATTTGTAATTTCCTGTCAGGTACAAACAGCATCTGAGAGCTGGCCTCAACAGAGAGAAAGTCTTGGAGAAGAACAGAGTGCAGATGGAGCTGGAATGGCAGCGACGCTTTGAGGATGTGAAGGTTGACTACTACCTTGCAAACGAGCAGCTAATACAAGACCTGATCGAGGCCAGAGACCAGGTCAGCGGCTCACACATAACCCACCCATTCAACAGACTCTGTGCACTTTAGCACTAATGCTAACTGAAATACCTGCAGTGATGCTGGACAGTTCACTGCAGGACAGCAAAAAGAGACTGTTCTCACGTGTTTTCTGTTACACGCGTGTTCATGTCAGCAGGTGTCATTTAAAAACCAGAGGTGAGAACAGATCTACGCTGATACAGACTGATGGTCATGTTAGGAATGAAAGGACTGACTGATGGACATGACTACAGAGAGATTCAGCAGCAGGCTAGTCTGTGTGGATGACATTTCTTTGTAGCAGTTAGAGATGATGCTGAGGAGTTTGTGTGGTCCTCACGTTGCCTGACAACATCGGGGCATGCTCCTGATGAGATGACAGATCTGGCCATCATGGAGCTCCTGAACAGTCAGAGGTGCAACCTGGGAGTGTCTCGCGACATAATGTCCCAGAGGTGTCCTACTGAATTTACATCAGGACCCACTGCACCAGTGTAGGGTCTGACACTGGTGCAAGGATTTCATCCCAAGATGTAATCAGGGTGTCCTTACCCTACATGAATGTCCTTCCCCATCACGTGATGTGTCTGTAACAATGTTGCAGGCAGCATAACGCTCTCCACAGCTTCATTCACGTGTGACCTGTGGTCAGGGTGAAGCTTCTTTCACCTGTGAAAAACACAGGGTGGATCTGCCATACTGGTATTCTAGAGCCAGTCATCCCATTGCTGTGCAGAAGCAGACCTGCTGAGGGGTTCAGGACCTGCTACAGCCCCTCAGCTCTCCTAGAGTAGCTGCCCGTCTCCTGAATCTCCTCCATGCTGCTGTGCTGGGAGACACAGCAAACCTGCTGGTAATGGCAGCAGGCTCGCCCCCCCCCCAGCAGTGACCTGTTTTATTTATTTTTATTTTGTTTTGTTTTGTTTTATTTATCTATATACATATATATATATTTTTCCTGTAATAATATCTGAATGATCTACATGGGAGAGTATGTACAACTATATCTATGTGTTCCCCTAACACTATTCATATATGATGTACATACATTACTATTATATACTCAAATTCTTTTTTTTTTTTATTAATTTTCTCCTTTATTTTATTTGAACTCTCTCTTCCTGTTGGTTAAAATGTTGTTGGAAAAGCAATAAATAAATCTTTGAGAAAAAAAAGACCTGTTTCAGTTTCAGCACACTGACAGAGGAGAGCTGCTGGTTTCAAAGGATGTTTTATGAATGTAACACAGTTTTCATGTGTCAGGCTACAGCTGAGCTGGTGGAGAGAGAGCAGCGGCTGCATGATCTGACCGTCTTACTCCAGTCCACTAGCAGGGAGCGAGATCAGGCTGTACAGGTGAGCACATGTTTAACCACACACTAACATCAGTCTTATGTCGTGGTCTACGGCTTGGCTGCTCAGCCAAAGCGTGCTGGAGTAGAGCTCCTGCTGTCAGTCAGCTTTTTTTAAAACCCAGTTTCTATTATAATTTAAACCTTGCATCTTATACTTGTCAATGTTCACAAGCTGAACAGATACAGGAACGGGGCAGCAATGTAGAAGTTACATTTAAAAAAAACTTCACATAATATTAATAAGACGTGGTGATCTTAGTAGCAATAAATGAACCTCTGCTGGATTATTGAAACAACAAGCATGTATGGGTCATCATATCCTCTCTGCATCTGCAGAGCATGTGTTATTCCCTCCATCTGATAAACCTCTCTTACTTTATCAATCAAGATTTAACCATTTATGATGATACACTTTAGTGCTGCTGTAAGCAGGATTCTCAAGAGCTCTTTATTGTTTCCTGTAAAACCATTGGGTAGTACTCCTAACAAGGCTAACTGTTGGTCTTTTGTTAACGGTTGTTGGGAAACTATTGAGAGCTTTAGATACGTCCTTCCAAACAGAGCTAATGGACATGACCAGAATATGTGTGAGTGGGTTCCTAAGTGAGAACCACAATTTCACCAACAAGTGTCAGGAGTTGGTTCATTTTAGCAACGATGTCTGGGGTCTAAAACATCTAATGACCACCTTCCTTTAAATTCTCTCCACAGCCCACAATTAGTCACCAGATGACCCTCACTGAACTCTTCGTCCCAAGTCTCCTCTGAGATTTGAGTGCCAGTCTCAGCTTCCCACCTGGCCTTAATATCCAAAGTTGCACTTGTATTAAAACTCATAAATGCATGATAGAAATTACTAATCAATTTTGGGGAGGAATTACTGTGAAATATTTTAGAGATATTTCCTCGATGGGTGAGGGCTCCAAACTTGCCTCCAGTCTTTATGTTTTGTCAAAAAACTTCTTAGCTGCAAAAATCTAAAAAAAAAGTCAGAAGAAGGAAGCTGAAACTTCCGGAGCCCCTCTGATGACATGGTCCCAAAAATAAATAAATTGTGGCCACAAAATACTACTTCGTGCCCTCGAAATAGTATAACGTGGGCACGAAATGCTCATTTGTGGGCATGAATTGGGTAAAACGTGGCAACGAATTACGCATTTGTGCCAACGAAATAGATGACGTGCGCACATCATATTGATACGATCCTGGACAGCTGCGTAGAGACATAAGAGTAGGCTAAACCTGTACACTGTGGACAGAGACAGTATGATTGAGTTTTATTTTAGGCTGGGAATGAGCTACAAATGCATTTTGAAAAGCCTGCAATGCAAGGAACCATTATTACGGAGAGACGTTAAAACAGGATCCTGAGAGCCCAGTTGCTTTACAGACGTAAGTACGACCTGGACGCTGGGATAGATTTTATTGTCAACCAACTGCAAGGGCCTGAAGGATCACGGTTATCGGGCAAGTGTTTCGTGCCCATGAAATAGTATTTTGTGGCCACAATTTATTTATTTTTTGGACCATGTCATCAGAAGGCTCTGTAGAAACTGACCTCTCAGCTGTTGAGCTCAGGTGCCCATTCCTCACAACATGACAAAGTTTATGAAGCCCGTTATTTGACCATGCTCTGAAGCCAGGGTCTTCCATAACAGGACAAAAACCCTGCAGGTTGGAAACTTGATACAATTAAAACTTCTTTTGGACCAAATGTTTGTTTGATTCTATGCCAAATCTTTAGTGTGACCCTTGTCCATTCCCCCATATGCACATCTTAAGTGAAATGTTAGAGAACATGATCATGTTGTCTTCTCAGTGTGTAGCCACGTGCTGAGGTGGTTTTCCCAGCTTAGTCTGGGCGGAGTTCTTTTTTCTCCTCGTCTTTCCTCATGTTGTGCATTTTCCATAGTTATACCTCTCTGACCTGTGATGTTTGTGTCATGTACGTATGGTCGAAAGGGTAAGATGGCGCTTGCAAAGGTCAGCAGCCTTAACCCAATTTCCTTCTGCTTGGAGCGCAGGGGTAAGCTTTTAGTAATAAGGGGGCGACTTTTTCCTTAAAGTCTTTATGATTAATAAAGCCATCAGGGCAGGACTTGTTTTAGTTTTAAGGTTTGAAATCACCTGCAAAATGTCTTGTTCCTGATTGGTTGATCTAACTCTTTTGCTACCGATTCGCAGTGTTCTTAGATTGATCTATTCTAAGTCAGACAGTGTATTGTCATCCTTGCATGTATCTGAATTTTTATATAATGACTCGAAAAAATTGGCAAAGCAACCATTTTGGTTTGGTTTAGTAATTAAGGTTTGATTCGATCTCAGCTTTTGGACCATATTACAGGATTGCTGTTTCCTGAGTCTTATTGCCAGCAATCTACCAGCCCTAATACCTTGTTCATAATACTTTTGTTTAATGAATCTTAAATTGCCCTCAATTTTTTTGTTAATTAAACTATTAATCTCACTACGCAGCACTTTCAGATCGGACAGCTCGTCGGCTGTCTGTGGTGTTTGTGTGTTGTTGCTCGAGGTGCCTTATTTTGGCCTCCAATTCACACCACCCTTTTTTTCTGGCACTTGCAAATCATATTATCCAACCTCTAATGTATGCCTTGGTGCAATCTGATAGAGTTACGGGCGATATCTCCGGAGTTGTGTTCAATTCTAAATAAATATTTAATTCAGTATGTATGAACTCACAAAACTGACTATCATTTAGGAGCAAGGCCAAAGTTTTAGTTTTGGTGTCAGTCCTAAGTCCCATGAGAGTGATAGCGGTGCATGGTCAGATAGAGTAATTCTATGTTCTTCTGTTTTGGAGGTAAAAAATAAATCTATCCTGCAATAGGATGCATGTCTATGCCAGTAAGAAGTATAACCCCTGACTCTAGGAAACCTATTTCTCCAAACATCAGTTGGTCCCAGTTCAGTTGTTAAGTGTTTTAGAGCTTTGCTCATGTGAGACACATGATGTTTAGAGCTTGGTTGTTTGTCCATGTGAGGTGACGAGACAGTCAAAATCACTCCAAGCAGTAAAATACCAGAACATTAAACATTTGGCTCGTCCTCATCAGGGGCATAAATATTGAAGAGAGAAACCAATACTCCATCGATGGAGCCATTGACCATAATGTACCTTCCATCTGGGTCTTTATATGTATGTACACAAACACGTACACACATGTATGTGTTTGTGTACTAGGATAGCCGCCCCTCTTTTCCTGCCAGATTTGTTAGATGACTAAAACACTTGTTGTGCCCACGACCGTTTTAGCTTGTCATGTTCAACATCAGATAAAAAAGCTATGTGACAATTGAAACTTTGTAGCTGACCTAGTATTACCTCTTTTAACGGGGCTGTGGAGGCCTTTGACATTATAACTTGTGACTTTAAGCAAATCCATCTTAACTCTTTAGAGTGAAGTTCGACAGATATCTGGGAGCATAAGTAATTTTGAGCTCCATAATGACCCGAGGTTTTTGCTTAGCATAGGACAAACCAACAAACCAAAAACGAATATATAAAGCACCTTGTACAAGTTTTTTACCCATCAAATGATCCCCGGGAGAACAAGGGACCTGAGCAGGTCAGACAACAACAAGACAACAAGTCCTCGAATGCAGCTAACTCAAGTTTAGACGTCTTCATATGATGATGAACTGAAGTTTGGGGAAAATTGCTGCGAGCAGTCTCAGTGCAACCAACATCAGTGCTGTCTGCTAGAACAATAGTGGATCTCAGGCCTGCACGACTAACTGAGCGCTGTGATGTAGCTTACTGACATAAAGAACTCTGAGTTACCTCCACCTCGGTCCAGGAGATAAGACCATCATCATCACCACCTGCTGAAGAAAGTATGTTTTCCTTGACATAATCCATGGCTTTGGCAGCATCCACAAACTCTTTTTCAACGTTGTTGTAAGAGACATGAAATCTGGCAGGGTACAGGATGTGGACTCCCGGGCTATCGTGGAGTATCTTCCTCACGCGGTGAAAGCTGCCCTGGCTTTCGCCACGCTGGCCGTCGGGGAATATGGCGATTAGTTTACCTCTGCGCACACTCCTGAGGATGTCCGCCGCATCTCCTTTGCTGTTTGATTTAGCAATGATAACTCGTGGGGTATCCCCGGGTCTCCGTTGAGTCAGACTACGACGAGATCTTTCCCTGTCAAGCCAAAACACCTCTTTGAGGAGCGCTGAGACGCCTCCGGTGAGCTGGATCCCTGGGTTTCAGCCACGCCGGTGGCTCAGCTTGGATAGCGGTAGTGTTGCTATTGATTTCTGCCGTGCTCTCATTGCCTACAACATGCTGGCTCATTATGATGATGGGACTTTCAGATGAATACAAGAAGCTAATAGAAGGGCTGCACGGTGGTGCAGTGATTAACCTCACAGCAAGAAGGTCCTGGGTTTGAATACACCATCTGAGGGTGCATGTGATTATTAAAGTGGGACATCTGTCAGAATCACTGGGGTGACTTTCACAGAGGCTCATTTCTGCTGTGGCCACAAGGTGGCAGTAATTTACTGTCCTGTACATCACTGATGACTGAGCATCTCTAGACCCAGCAGTCTTAGCTAATTATAGGCCAATCTCCAACCTTCCTTTCATCATTGAAAGAGTAGTTGTCAAACAGCTAACAGATCATCTGCAGAGGAATGGTTTATTTGAAGAGTTTCAGTCAGGTTTCAGAGTTCATCACAGCACAGAAACAGCTTTAGTGAAGGTTACAAATGATCTTCTGCCTCTGACAGTGGACTCATCTCTGTGCTTGTCCTTCTAGACCTCAGTGCAGTCTCATCGTTTTGTGTATTTTTTATCTGAACATTCAACACACAATAATGCAAATTTCCAATTCCTGTTCTTCTTCCTGTGAAACATCACTTACACGACACAAAACTGTCTAAATCCACAGGGTCTCACTCCAAAGGTGGATTCTCTGGCATCGGTGGAGATCCGGCGTCTACAGGAGCAGAACGGCGCCCTGCGTGCTGTGGTTACCCAGATGAGAAAGGACATGGAGGGTCTCGGCCATCTTCTAGTCTTACCTCATGCTGAGGCACCAGTGCAACCTGCGTATCAGGAATCTTCAGCCTCCAAAGGCGACACAGCAGGTGCTGTCTGGCTCTGTATACAAACCTCGATGAGTTTCTGCATCTCTGTGACAAACTACACACACAAACCCAAAATGCTAAGATAAAATAATAGCTGTGCATAATCTGAGTGTTAAGCTAAACTTTAACACTCCTTCTCTGTAAAACTGGCCTCAGACTGCCGTCAGCCTGTGGAGCAGGAGGTGCACCTGTCAGGTAAGCCCCTCGAGGAGCAGCGAGGAGGTGGACTGTCAGGCCTAGCTTCAGCCACGGAGGACTCACAACACATCGATCCAGGCAGATCACAGCCTGGAAATCCAGCTGGTATTATTCATACTGTTAATTTCCTCCATATGACCCAAAAACATCACGTCAGCTAACACAAACACTGTAGATGACAGAGAGGAACACGAGGCGTTAAGCAGCAGACGTGTTTGTGGCTGCTGAACATGTTCGTCTCCCTCACATCACTGCATCATATTTGTGCCGTGCTCCTCAGGTGGTTCGTGTCTGGATAAACGTGGCAGGCGTCCCGCTGTGACACGTGTGGAGTCAGCTTCCAATGACATCACGCAGCAGGTACTACAGGAGGTTTATTGATCTGTCAGAGGAGGTGGAGCCACTGATCTGCTTAACCCATCACTGTTAGAAAGCACAAAATGGTTTCATCATCATCTTTTCAGAGGACACTGGTGCCGCAGCTCCAAGGAGACAGCAAGTACGTGAAAGCAGCTCTGATGTGTGGCGTGTCTAAGAGCGCCCATCCTGCTAAAAACGATGCCCAGCTCCTTCGCGTCAGGCTGAAGCAGGCGGCGTCCTGCATCGCCCGTTTGAGCAGAGAGAAACAGCAGCTGATAGCGCTGGGCAACCGCCTCCGTGCCCAGATCGCCGCCGCCGGACGGCAGGGTAGAGTTACACACCCGTCACTGCACACAGGGAGGCTGTGCTGGGAGCCTGCAGCCCAGTTCACTGGAAGCATAAATGAGTTTAAGGACAAACTGAGACGCTGGCAGCACAACATCAAACTGGACCTGCACAGTCACACGTTTCCTCTTGAGAATAGTCGGATGGTGTGTCGCTTATTTACTCTCCTGTTGTAAAGAATGCTAATCGTATGCTAAAGGAGGTAATAAAGGACACAATGAAGTTTCCTTTAGAGAAGGAATGTGAGCACCTGTGAGTTCAGATACTGCAGGTGAAATCACACAGTTAGGAGCAGCACGTACCTGATCGTCATCCTCTCAGTCTGACATCACTCCACCTGACCAGTTAGCCTTCTTTTATTCAGTTCCTGTTGGCACTGACGTGAGTTTTCCTGCTGTTTCCTCCTTTTAGGAATGTAAGACAGCTCAGGGCCTTTTTGAGGAGACAGCAAACGACAGCAAAAGCATTTAGAGTCCCAGGATGTTGGAGTCACACCTATATCACATGTGTAAAACGTGCTGTTTTATTACTGGATGGATTCAGACAGAGCAGTGCTGTGTGGGGCTGCAGTGGGAAAAGTTACATAGAAAGAAAAGTGATTCGGACTCTACACGTATGGACTATTATTAGCATGTGTGGTGTTTGTTTCCACAGGCGGATGATAGATTCTGTGTTTGCAGACAGACTCAGCAGTCAGAGGTCCTTACATATCTCTGTGTGTCCAACAGCACCGGGGGGGCTGGAGAAGGACACCCCCACAGAGAAACTAGCAGACCACCATGGCCGCCTCTCTGCTGTGGAACAGCTGCAGTACCAGCTCACCACTCAGGTATCTGCTCAACAACGCCCTCGTCTCCAGCAGGTTTGAATGTGTTACTTTGCTGTAGGTGTCATTTGAAATGGATACAAATGCCGTCCCTCAGTATCACACTGACACATGAGTGCAGGCTGCGCTTTGTGCAAATGTGTTCAAATTAAAGGTTTTTACTTGAGGGGAAGTATCTGCTTTACTTTAATAAGAGCACGTCCGTGTCTGTGCTGCACAGTGTCAGTGTGTTTGTGCCATCAGGAGCTGCAGTATGCACTGATGCAGAGAGCTGCTGCTGAACAGCACATCCCACCAACAAAGAGCCAGGCTTCCTTCAAAGGGACTGCAAACACTTGCTGTGGGCTCAAACCCAGAGACACGTCTGAGGTGAGATGCATTAATGCACAGCCAAGCCCAGCTGGCCTGTTCACTCCCTGCATGGATGGACGTGTTCTCCTCCAACATGCTTGTTATGTTGAGGTTCCTGAATGGCCTGTGGTTAATGCTGTATACTGTAAATGCACGTACACGTTTGTGTGTATATATTAATGAAGGAGTAAACATCAGAGGAGTAAATGTGTGATTCACACAGCTGTAGTGTAAAATAACTCTTCTTCTTCTTCACGCTCACAGCTGCACTCGTCCAGGACTGTGTCGCATGAATCGCTGTGCTCATTAACGATGCTGTGGGACACGCTGGATCGTGGACTTACGGACTCAGAAGGTATCCACATCCTCCCCACGATGCGCTTATCTGTACCTGCAGGCCAGCGCTGTGAGGAGACGAGTCGGTATAAAGAACCTGTGAACTCGCAGTCTGTGCACATCACTGTAGCGTAGTCAGAGCACTGAGTGTCCACAGCCAGTATCAGCACCACAAACATTCATTTTCTCATTTTGTATCTAGTTTGTGATCATAAGTACAGTTACTCTGTTACTGGAATAAACTCTGCTCCCAGTGTCAGCGACAGATCAGCTGTTGCTCAACGTGTGGCCTCGTACTGTCAGCGCTCCAGGGAACAATTTCCCAACCAGATAAAGCTGAGTTGCAGTGATTGGCATCATAGCAGTCAATAATTGTGAAACCAGAAAAACAAAGCACAAAGTTTGTGTGTTGATAAAGGCAGCGATGAGTTAGAGATGTCTGTGAGAGCTGCTAAAGCAACAGTGCTGCTTTCTTGTGTGAAAGTTCCACTGTGGGAGAAACGTGAGTCTGTCTTTACCGACATCCAACAGTGAACTCTGAGACTGATGGCTTATTTGAGCCAATATTTCTGGGAGGTTCAGCAGGTAGAGGAGGTCACGATGAGCAGGAAGTACGGACACATCGAGCTACAGACCATCTCTAACTCGGACCACAGCCACAAATCTTCTTGTCCATCCAGCAGGTCGTCTCCAGTCCGCATGTGAAATATCGCTGGGCAGCAGGCTGGGCCCAAGTTGCTCCGTGAATGTTAGATAGAAAGTCCTTAAAGTGGCTGTGTGGATGGAGGAGACTGCAGAAAGCACTGAGTTACAGCAGAACAGCGCTAAATAAGAACGCGTCCACTTACCGTTTATCTCCTTCAGTTCAGCCCTGACAGCTCATTTCAGTCATGATGATGAATGTCTGCCATATATGGGAAGCATCACTTTAGCTGAGCACACATGTCATAAATACACATCTGTAACCAAACCAGGTAATGAACAGCTGGTTGAGACTCGTGGCAGTTATGATGTCTTTGAACAGTTTATAGATCATAGACGTGGCACGCATTATCAGGCTGCACTGGACCAACCTGCACTGGACCAACCTGCACTGGACCAACCTGCTCTGGACCAACCTGCTCTGGACCAACCTGCTCTGGACCAACCTGCACCGACACGTCACTGCAGCGAGTCGCAGTGACGTGTCGGTGCAGGTTGGTGTGTTTTTGGATCTGAATTCAGCAAATGAAACAGCTCTAAGTCAACTTCTTTTGTCTCTCCAAAAGGTGAACGTGGGCTCAGGAGCAGACAGTCTGCTGGCTCTGGAGTCCAGATGATGGTGCACGGTAGTGGTGTGATTCCCAGCCAGCCCCAGACTGAGGCCCAGCAAAGCAGGAGCCAGTCTAAAACACTGCCGAGCACTACTAGGACCAACAGACCTGCAGTCCCTGCCAGGATCAGCAAGATCAGAAACTACAACGTTAAAGACTGAGATGGACGCAGAGGACCAGCCCAGACCAGAGCTCCCAGCAGCTGGCACACTGGGAGTAACACACGAGCATCACGGACAACAAAGAGAGAAGAGTGGGACAAGGAAGGGAACAAGACTCTGATGAAACAACAGCAAACACACATCAGCAAGGGAGGAAACAAGCCACAAACACAAGAACACTCACAGTAAACATGAACACAAAGACAAAGACACTGCAGGACAGAGACAAACGAGACAGAGACAGACGAGACAGAGACAGACGAGACAGAGACAGGACGGATGAGAAACACTCAAGGGACCAAAAACCTGAAGCTGAAACTGAACCACAGAGTCCATCAAACTGAGCAGGAAGCAGAACTCGAATAACACAACAGGACAACTATGACTGACCGACAATGAAGCAATACAACAAACAGGTTACACTGGATAAGATGTGATTGTTTGTCACCGCAGCAGAAGGAGAAAACTAACCCTGACCAGCAAAAAGCTGAACAGAAATCAAACGTGTTGAACGTGAGAGTTTCAGGGAGGAATATTCATGATTTTACTGCTGCGCTCTCACTCTGTCAGATCCAATACCTGAAGGAACTACAGAGACACAGAACACACAGGAGCAAACAGCACGAGGCCTTAAACACACGAGGGGACGAGGCAGAGTGGACACCACGGGGGACACAGCTGGACAGAGCCACAGTAAGGGACTGTCAAAATAAAACAGGAAACGTAACACTGACACAGACACAAAGAACCATGGACAAAAAGGTAAAGACACGTGGAGGAAACTAATAAACCTGAAGCTAAACTAGAGTCAACCAACCTGAGGAAGTAACACTGATCAGTGGGTAAGAACTCCAACATAAAGTCACGTACTCATGAATAAATCCTTTACTCTTAAAATGTGTCCCCATCATTGTTCCAGTCTGGTTGTCCTTCAGTACATCTTCATGTCCTTGTAGTGGGAGGTTTCAGGTTTTGTCCTGTGTAATTCTCTCTGCTGTTCATCCGTCTCTGCACACGAGGACAGTCGCACACAAACACTGTTGCAGCAGACCACGCTTCCACACGAGCAGCTTCAAACATGTCTCTGCTTTACCACAGAGATCAGCTGGGTCATCAGCGTACACTGTGGGTGTGGATCAGAGCAGACGTGTCTGTGACAGAAACGATCACTGACCGGTTTGCATGGAAATAAAACAACTTGCTGTGGTGAACTCTAAACACTCTGTCTTCATGGTTTAACAGACACATGATCAAATCTACAGGCAGCTTCTTTCTGAAACACGAGCAGCTGTTTCTCCTCAGGTTCAGAAACCCACTCCGGTTACATGTTGTGGAGAAACAGGTCGAGGGGGCGGTGTGGCAGCAATTTTTCACACCAGTCTATTAATTAATGAAAGACCAAGACAGACTTTTAATTCATTTGAAAGCCTGATGCTTA